AGTTCTTGAAAAACTGGTTTTCCAGAAAACGGGGTCTTCAAGAGTCATCGGTCCGAACCCTTTTAGGATTTTCTTAGTCTCACTGAGTCCTACTTATAGCCAAAATATGGAGTCAAACGGCGTCCGACAGTTGGGTAGGTTCCCTCGTCAGTCAGAATGGAAAAACCACACCCTCTACAGGATTTTCCGTTTTTAGCCATTTTTCAACAAATTCATGCGCCAGTTCTTAACAATGAATTGTCTGGACGCAATTCGAGCGATATCTTTCAACAAAAAGTATCTTCTCTGGATCCGACGTTCTGTTATAGAATAAAAACCCCTGACGCTAGAATCATGCACCCAAATTGTTGAAAGCCCTGGGAAGCGCAACAATCGAACTATACATTAGTTCATCTCCAAGAGAAGCATTTTTGTTTATGTCAGATAGCATTTGTATGTTCAGCAGGTCACTCAAAAATTTTAAAAGATTCTTTGAAATCAACTTTTCATTAGAAAATGAGCAAAAAAAATATGAAATAAAAACCATCAAATGAAGAGCGTAATTGTAAAAAGTCATGATAAACAAGAACTGAAAAACCGTACACTTGGATTTTCCACCGTGTAGCCCGTCATGTTCTATCAAGAATCTTAGTTAATTTTTTTTCCTGTGTAATGGCTTTGAACGCCTGTTTATCGAAAACAGGACGAAACACCAGAACAATGTACTTATCTGACTTCTTTGCCATCATAATTCAGCTTTCATGTAGTAAACATGATCATATGCGGAATCCAAATAGGGTCGAATGACGAGACTTTTCTTCTTCTTTTTTTTATTGTCAGAATTAATTTTCTGTCGCAACTGGAAGCAGATGAAAGAAAGATATTTTTTAAGGAACATTGAACTTCATTTCGTTCTTAATTTTACTTTTTAGTTTTGGCGAAGCTTTAGCGAGTAAGTTTTTTGTTTAATCATTATGTAAAATACACTGTTTTATTAATATTTATTTTCAGATGCCATTGAATATTTGTTTAATCGTTTTGGCGGTATTCAATTTCATGTTAGTCGTTTATTTATGACACTCAATGGCTCAATTATTTATAGTAAATATGATTCTTATCGATCATTTCTCCCAGCATTAATTGATGCTGTTGCACAAGCTGGATTTTGTAGTCAAGAGATACTCCCCGATGACACTAATACAATTAGTGGAGCTGAATTAAAACGTGTTTACAAAGAAGCATCAAAATTTTCTATACGTCCACATAAAATTGAACCATCAATAGAAAATATGAAATCATGTTTAAATGGACAATTACCATTTATTATGAGTCTAAATACAGAATTATTTACGGAACGCGATGTACAAATTGTAAATAATTATCAACGAAAACTTATTCTTCCATCACCATATGAATTATTACCAGTATTAGTTGTTGGTTATGATGATAGGATACAAGTTTTTCTTGCAAGAAATACATGGGATCCAAAATGGGTAAGCTTGATTCTTACAAAAATCAAAGATATGAATTCTGTGAAGCTTTTTACTTGTCACCATACTTTTCAATATGACTTTTTGCCGATTAGGAAAATGGAATGATTGTTCACTTCGATAACGATTAATACTGATGATGATAGCAATTTCTTTGTTGTCCGTTTACGAACTGAATTATTTGGAGACCTGTAGAGGATGAGGGTGAGCAGCTATAAGTGATGCGTTTCGCTCAAATGTCGAGATCACTCAAGTGTCGGCGCTTGAATGTCGATTAGTCGTTAGATTGATCGTCACAAGTTTATGTTAAGCTGTTATAATGTCTTGATTAACAGCTATTGGTGTTTAGGTCTAAATATATGTTGAAATAAATGTGTGTTCTCGAAAATCATTAGTTTGCTTTCTTCATGAGTAGTGTAAATGAGTCGAGTTCAAGTAAAGAGTACTCTATCATATGCTCGTAACATCAGTCCAGAAGTCAGGGTGGTGAATGAAGGTGTATTTGCGAGAGAGTTGTGTAGAAGTCGAAGCTCTAATTAGACTTTTTTCAAAAAATTTAGGCTTTTATATACATCGACCTCTTGAGACGTCTAATATTTCTTGCAGCCAGTGATGCCGTGGCATCGATTAAGTGGACAAACATTGAAATACAAGAACATTAGCAATGAATGCCCCTTATGTACTACGAGAAAAGGTTAGAGTAAGAGAAAATTTAGCGTTGTTTGATGTGTAAAAATCGCCAGAATATGTAGATCGAACGTGTGAAAAATAGGTGTCCTGGAATATTAACTGCTATAAAAACGACTAAAAGTTTATTTTTCTTGACTATAATGTTGCATGCTGCACAGCAGGAAATTTGCAAAAGTTTTGGACGCGTTTAAAACGTCAATTGAAACATTTATCACTACCACGCGGTTTTTCCCTAGACAACGTCGAACTCTTTTAGCGCGGTGAAAATGTTTGTAGTTCCAACGCATTTAAACGCGTTTATTTTTCGAAAAGAACATTTAAAATTGCCTTTGACGCGTTGGAAAAACGTGGAAAACGATTTCAACACGTCAGAAATCACGATTTTAAGTTGGGAAGACGTAAAAATAAATGCGTTGGAGCTACAAACGTTTTCAACCCGCTAAAGAAGTTCGACGTTGTCTAAGGGAAAAACGCGTGGTATTGATAAATTTTTCAATTGGCGCGTTTAAACGCGTCAGAAACTTTTGCAAATTCCTGCTGTGTGGCTCAGTCTAACCGTCACCGCACCGCACCCTCCGCATTTATCTCTAATGTTCTAGTTTTAACATTTATCTACTCCATCAGTTTTTATTTCATGTTTGATTTCATTAGACTTCCTCATACGTGTTTATATGAAAAAAACACCCAGGCAAATAAAAAGCATCTGGTATGGGGCAATCCAAGCTAGACAACTGAATACAACACTCGATACATCTAAATACTAGTAAAAAGAAACGATCGAGTATTCCTATCTGGCTCAATCCTGTCTAGCTAACTCAATACAGTAGTCGATATATCTTGATACCCCAATATCATGCCCAATATATTACCTCATATGTCGACGGTCGGATTATTCACCTTTTTGTATCTGCAATACAGATATTTCACAAAGGAGGGGTCCGCATAAAACTGGAAATGGGCCCACTATATTTTTTGTCTAAAAATGATTCTGTGAGTAGTAGAAAAGTATTATCAGTTGTTTTTAACTCATTTCGCGTACGTTTGATAACTAAAATCCGAGTAATTCTTCGTTAATAGAGTGCCAATAGTTCATCCCTCAAAGAGCAGCTATAGGTTACGTAAAAGGTCTTTTTCTCATGTTTCTTTTGCGTAGGTGACAAAGTAAATATATCACCGGATAGCTCCAAAAATTCTCTACAGAATGTGTGGTACATATCAGTTAATCACAGTGCTTCGATAGCAGTAAGGCGCTTAGAATAATCCTACGTATACAACATAGTAGACAGTCCTCGCTGCCCTTTGTCCTCCCAATCACGAAAACATACATTTTTTTATTATATACCAGTTTGAAGCTCATGAAATTTGCTACAAACTGAGCTGGTCAGAATATCTAGACAGGTGGGGCCAGTCGTTAACGATATGCAAAAGACATATCTTAGCACAGCATAACATATGAGCACAGTGTATCATAACCACAAGAACTCCTTTGTTTTTGAAGCTTCAGTAAAGGCTGGAACCCATCTGAATACTATTTTGAATAGCCTGACGATTTGTCTATCAGATGAGGTGCATATCGCCATTTTATCAGAAAGCTTGATAATAAGGTTTCTGGAAAACCAAGTCTTTGGTTTTTGGTCAGAAAATTTTGCGAACCATTTTGCCTAGTAGATATATCGAAGACCGTAGCTCCTTACAGTAGCCTTTTTTTACATCTCAATATATTGAGACAATATCAGGATGCACTAGATACTATGTCGAATATATCTATATAATCCAATAAAAGCGATACCTGTACCTAGATATTTCGTCGTAGTATTGTCCAATATCATAATAAAATATCTAAATATTTTCGTATACAATTTTTTTGCCATGGCAGCTATTTTACAGTAACTTATCCCTCTTCCGAAAATAAGCAATATCAGCGATTATAAAAAACGTTCTGTATAATCAAATAGAAACAATATTTATAAAGACCGTATACCCATCTTCAAAACCGAAAATTCACTTGCAAAAAGCACATTTCTGACAGAGAGAAGAGCAAGTTCCATGGAGTTTGAACTTCACATATTGGGAGTGAGTGGAATTCTCGTGAATGAGAGCAATTTCTAAATTTCTGGGAATTGAATCTAAGGGTAGAAATCCTTACTTAAGATAGTTTAGCTGAATATCAAAATTTCTTAGACTAGGGAGAAGTTCTCGTGGAAAATGGGGAATTTCAGAATTGAGAAAATTCGGACTCTGCTGATTGTGTTTTGAGCATCAGACATGTGCGCGACTGCTCGTCCTTCTACGCAGTGGACATTTTTCCGTAGAACAGGCGGGTATCTGCTTTTTTGCGTTAAAAAATACTCATTTTCGCACAATATAGTCTTATTATGTGTCAGATATTAATAGAAGTAAAAAAAGTCAAATTGGAAAAAAACATTTTATTTGATAAAAACTCAGCGTCAAAAAAATGGAGAGCAAAAATAAAGATTGTGTTTCTCCGCGAAGACACGTGAGAGATCAAGAATTTTTTCATCCTATGTAGTCCATTGTACGGTCTATTCGATAATGTGGTCAGATCGTTTTACCTCGGACCTTCAGCCCGATAGCGAAGATCTTCTGAGGAACTTAGGATTTTATATTGATTTTATTAGGCATGCAGCGGTAGCGATAAAGCCGGTAACGGTACTACCGCTACCGTTTTACCGGTCACCGTAGGTAACCTTTTCCGGATAAAACCTATTGTAAAAAATCACACAGTTACAAATGTAACTTAACTCAGTCTTCAATACCTCATAGACACATGAAAGAATCGAAATTCGTGAACCTTAGTAAGTCGAAATTAGATTTTGCGAGTTGCTCAGGTTTCATCCACTGTTTATGTAAAAACAAAATTAAACAAAACGATAAAAACCATTATTTCTTATTCTTATTTCAGACTGCTGCTTAAGCCAATAAAATGCAGAGAAAAATAAAACGTGGAATAAAGCATCAAAATCTGTTACAATAACGACATCGTCATATGCTCTACAGAATTTCACTCTCTCTAGAATCGAGACTATCTGTCCGCAATGAACGATAAAACCTGTGGATCGATAACGGCAGTAGAACAGTAGCGGTAGTACCCGTAGAACGGTAGCGGTACTAACGGTAGAAC